CCAAACACTTGTGCTCTGGGCACTTTGTCCTCCTGTCTGTAGAGGGGATGAGGAGGGGGTGTGGGTAGTGATCTTGCTCCAGATGGGATGTCCTGGGACGATGATTCAAAGTTACACATCCAAGGAATTGTGGCAGGGTTTTGGGGGTGTCTGTGAAGCTCTGGAAATTGCCTATGAAATTTTGTGAATATGGGTACTCTTTTCTGGAGGTCTATAGCTTTTATTCGGTTCTTGGAGGGACCCCTGATACCGTATGAGTTAAGATTCACTGCCTATTGACAGATTTAACCAAATCCCATTGGTGTCAGTAAAAACTTAAAAAAAAAAAAAAAAAAAAAGCAAGGGAGAGTACGTGAATTCAAAGATATTGTTTAAGGCAGGTTTCCCCAACCTGAGCACTAGTCACATCTTGGACCAGATCATTCTTTGTGGTGGGTGTCATCCTGTGCATCAGAGAGCATTCGGTAACATCCCTGGCCTCCACCCACCAGAGGACAACAGCACCCCCTCCTAAACCGTGACACCCAAAAATGTCCCCCCCGGGGCATAATCAAAAATGATAACAATCGTTCCGTCTGGGAAATGAGGCTGGGGTTGGGGTCAGTGAGAAGATAAAAGGCACTTTTTTTCTTTTGGTCCTTCTCTGCTGCTTACATTTGAAATTCCTGACTAGGCATTAAACTTATAATAAAAATGAGTTTATTGCTAAAATAAGTTACCTCCATTCAAGGGACACACACCAGCTGTTGAATAAAATGAGGTGAATCTCTACATGTGACGTGCTTCTGCCTCCATAACAAACAACAGCAACGCTTAACACGTTTGGTCTCAGGACCCCTCTATACGCTTAAAAATTACAGGGGACCCCAAAAGCATTTGTTTCTGCGTGTTATGTCTATTGATATGTAACATATTCAAAATCCAAACAGATGAGACTTAATCTGTACTAAACTCAGGAAAATAATAAACCCATCGAATGTTTACATAGACAACTTATTTTGGTGAAAAATAAATGTATTTCCCCAAACACACACAAAAATGTAGTGGTGTTGGCTTATATTTTTGAGAATCTATTCAATGTTTGTGCTACTAGAAGAAAGCAGGGTTCTCATCTGCTTCTGCATTCAATCTATTGTGGTACCACCCATCATGAAGCCACAAAAAGACTCTGGACCCTATACACTCATGAGAGACTAAAAGTGAAAAAGGCAAACCGTATCTTAGTATTCTTGTAAAGGTGGTTTTGACCTCATGGACCCCGTCAACAGGTCTCAGGGATGCCCCAGGGTCCCTGGGCCACACTTTGAGAGCCACTAACATGTGTATGTAGTATTATTCTGTAAATTAACTGACTGGGTAACACGGTGTAAGAATGATGATAGATGGGGCACCTGGCTGGCTCAGTTGGTAGAGCATGCAACTCTTAATCTCAGGGTCTTGAGTTCAAGCCGGAGACTTCTTAAATCAAAGAAAATGATGATAGGTAAATAGATGGAACTATGTGGCTTCAGCATACTCAGAGGTGTACAGCTTAGTGTGGTTAAGTGTGGTCGGTTCGGGAGACCCCCAGGATTCAAATCTTAGCTTGACCACTTACTAGCTGTGTGACCAGGAAAAGGTTAATTTATCTCTCTGCACCTCCAGGACCTCATTTATAAAAATGGGATGAATAGAAAAGCACCAGTTTCCCTGGGTTATTGAATGCAAAGTGGCTGGCACATAGGAAGCCGTCGATAAATTATGCAATTAATTTATGCAAACTGTCGTTATTAAGCATCCTTGAAAAACAATAAGGTAGTGTTATATAACGGATACTAGATATTCTCCATAATACATTGCCATGTGAAATTGGGAGGTGCAGAACTATGAGTATATGATGATAAATGCTGTGTCCAATAAACATGTATGAGCTACATATTCACCTGTGTGTGGATTTAAACACACATGTATATACTTCAATATGCAAATAGATTCTTGAAATTGTACATGGTATGATGAAAATACCTCAGGGTGTGGGGGACTTCTGGATGTCAAAAGTTCAGAAGGACTGACTTTTCACAGCATTTTTTTAAAGATAAACAAATTTTTAACCTTTAAGCTCCCATTCCATTTTCAAAATGTAAAAAACAAAACAACAACCAAAAAAAAAACCCACAAAAACTTGGTCGGTTCTTTTTTTAAAAATAACATAAGCTTTAGAACATTAGGTTGTTAAGTTCTGGACAAAATGAGCAAATGTCCAGCAAACGTCCAGCACTTGCACCAAAACTGCCCTTTCTGCAGGCAAGACAGACAGCACCAGTCAGCCCAATCAACGGGGACATTCTTTCCCACGGAGCAGATAGATACTCAAAATCCCTCTCCACACCATGCTCCAGGAAGCCAGTAGGAATCAATTCGTCTGGACAAAGGAGCTGAAACACCTTTGCCATCCCAGATCTCAAGCATGACCTCCAGAAATTCCTGAAACCATTGGAAATGACTCAGAATATTTCCCTCAGGGAGTCTGATCCTGCTGAATCTTCTTCTTCCCTGCTAACCTGCCCCCATCACTCTCCCTGTTCCAGAGGGATTTGGAGTCCTTCTAGCTCACCGCCCCCCCTCCTTTTTATAGAAAAAGAAACTGAAGCCCCAGAGATTAAAAGACTTCTCAAGGTCACAGGATGAGTTTGCATCAAAGTCATGGGTGAAATAGAGTGGCTCGAGAGAGGTTCTGGGACCAGGCAGGCCTGGGTGGAAATTCTCCTCTGCATCTTACCAGCTGGGTGATCTTATCTTCCCAAGTGCTAGTTTCTTCATCTACAAAATGGGGCTGTGTGCATTGCCTAGTTCCAGGAGGTTTGGGAGAATCCAATGAGCTAACACATGGAAAGTGCTCAGCGCAGTGTCTGGCACCTAATGATAGCTTGGTGAGTGTGGTCGTGATGGTGGGAGCTGTCCTGACCGCCCCCAAGAACCTAAGTCCCAACAAGGCGAAGAGCCAAAGGGCTAGCCCTGTTTCCTTCTCAACACACTTCAAGAAGAAGCTTATTAAACATTCAGGCTGTTTTCAGTCCCTCTGTGGAGTAGGTGAGATCACAGATCTTAGGGCCCATCTGGAAGCCTCTGATAGGGGGCTGCTGGGAACATCTCATCAGATCACATTCGGGAGGAAAGTGTGCATCTCATAGTAGGTGTTCAATCAACGCAGCAGTGATTGCTCAATAGATCATTAGGAGAATCCACTGCTCCCCAGTGAGCAGGGAAGGAAGCTGAAATCTTGGCACCAGATGAACCTACTTTCAGCTCTACCTCTGCCACTTTGTACCTAGGTGACCCTGGGTGAGTCTTTTCACTTCCATGGCCCTATCTGCAAAATGACTTCAGTAAATTCAACATGTAGGCTTGGGGAGAAAACCCAATGAAGCAATAAATGTAGAAGGAAGGCAAGCAATAGTAACAGTACTCTAGTGGTCATGGTAACACCAAGAGTTGGTTTTTATTGATCCTGACGGGTGTCACTTGCTGTCCTACATGCTTTACACGGACTGAATTATCAAGTGCTGCTGTTAATAATTAAGATGATTAAGCAACTTAACAAAGACCAATCTAACCTTGTTCTGCGGGACTCGAGGCCCCCACCCTGGGGGCAGAGACCAGGACCCAGACCCTCTATCCAATACCCTCCCCCTCGGCAGGCGGAGACGTGTTTGAAATAAAGTTTATTGAAGTTTCTGTCGGTATTTACATATGATACACGGCAAATATCAGAGCCAGGCCCCCCCCCCCCCCTCCCCACCCCCAAGCCCCCCCTCCCCCCAGCCTCGTTAAAAATCACTGCGTAAAGACAGGTTAACTGCTGCGGTCCCCCCTCCCCCCTCCCACCTAAGATGCAAACTAAAAGCCCCCGTCCCTCCCCTGCCCCCCTCCCCCCACCCCGGGGGCCTTTCTGGTTCCGTGTACAACACTGTGCTACCTCGCCCCCGCTCCCCTAATAAGGGGGGAGGGCGAGTTTCTGGTGACCTTCCCCCCAGATCTGTCCAAGGGGGCGGACGGACCCTTGAAAGAGGCCAGAGTTGGGGGTCTGAGATGGGAAGGGGGACTTCGATGAGGGGGAGTGCCAGAAAATGGAAGACTTGGAGGTTTGGGGGGTTTCGACCCCCGCTACTGCCTCTCCCTCCCCCGACGGGGCCTCGAGGGGGAAGAGGCCGGCACAGGTGTGGAAATGGCACGGAGGAATCCCCTCCACCCTAGGGTCTCCATCCCCGTCGTGTGGCGTGCGGGGCTAGATGCACCTAGGGGCGTTGGGTGAGCGGGGAGAAAGGAGGGAGACAGAGCTAGAGGATGAGTTAGAAGAGGAAGAAAAAGAAGCCAAGGGCAGCTGAGAAAGCAAGGAGATCCTTCCGACGGCGCCCCCTAAAAGGCAGGTGACCTTCAGGAGGCCGAGAAGAGCCCAGCGGGTGAGGAAGAATGGGGCCTCCCAGGCGAGCAGAGAACTGGGGGGGGCGGACACCAGGTTAAGCAAGCCCCGGCCTCCCGCTCCACACCCCACCCCGCAGCTGCGGGCGCAGCAGGAACACCGGCCGCTGCACCCGCGGGCCCGGAAGGTCCGGAGATGAGATCGTGCGGGGAAAGAGAGAAGTCGGGGCCGAGGGGAGAGGAGGATGGTTGGCATTCCAGGCGGCTGCCGAACCTACTCTCCAGCCCGGCGCCCCTGCGGCGAGGCAGCAGGCTGTGGGTCTCCGGCCGGGGGCGCGCCTGCCCCGCGGGCCCCAGGCGCGCCCTGCGCGCAGCAGGGAAACCGCGGCCCGGAAACTGGAGGGGAGAGGCGGGGCCAGAGGAAAGGGGCGGGCCCCGGGGAAGGGGAGGGGCCGTCTGCGAGTGGATCGGACCGAGGAGGTCGAGAGGCCCAGAAGGGGGAGGAGCCCTTGGAAAGTAGGAGGGGCTAGGACGGCGGGGCGGGGCCACCGGGAAGAGGGCGGGGCTAAAGCGTGCGCGGCATCCTCCCGGAGGGATCGAGAAGTCCCGAGGGAGGGAGCGGAGCTGTGGGGCCCGGAGACCCCGGAGGAGGAGGAGGAGGAGGAGGAGGAGCAAGAGAAGGAGGAGGAGGGAGCGCCGAGGGGCGGGCCTCAGCAGGGCGAGGTGGAGATGTGCAGGTGGTCCGGGTACTTGATGGCGGGAGGGTAGTTCTGCGTCATCTGGATGGAGACGTCGCTGGAGATGTCGGAGGGGCTGCGGCCGCGGCGCCACGCCTCGGGCTGCAGAAACTGGCCCGAGTAGTCGGAGCAGTCGCTGAGACGCGGGCGGTAGAAGGCCGGGTGCGGACGGTACATCTCCTCCTCTGCGTAGCGCTTGGTGAACAAGTACACGGACATCACGCCAGCCCCCTGTGGCAACGCATGGTCAGGGTCCCAGGGGCTGGCCCCGAGGGCCCAAGGACCCCAAGACTCCAGACCCCCCCAGCCCCTCCTCGCTCAGACCCTGGAGCCTTGGCCCCCAGCCCCTCCTCCCTCAGACCCAGAAGTCCAGGCCCGCAGCCCTCTCCTCTTTCAGACCCAGGAGTCAGGGACCCCAGCCCCCTCCTCCCTCAGACCCAGGAGTCCAGACCCGCAGCCCCTCCTCCCTCAGACCCAGGAGTCCAGGTCCCCAGCCCCTCCTCCTCCCTCAGACCCAGGAGTCAGTCCCCCTCCCCTCCCTCCCACCAGGACCCCAGAAGTTGGGAGCTGTTAGACCCCTCCTCCAGGACCCAGGGGTTAGGCCCTCAGCCACCACCTCCCTTTTAAATCCAGAGTCTACACCCCCAGTTTCCTCTTCGTCCTGGACCCAAGAATGAGGCCCCCCCAGACCCCTCTCCATTCACGTCTGGGCCCCACAGACATCACCTCTTTGAGTAGGAAGGAGGAAGCAGCGAAGGCAAAAGACCACCCGTAGCGATAGTGGAAATACTGCTCAGAGCTGCTGGGCCTGTTCATGACCTCGTCATTGATGCTGGAAATGTAGAGTACCAAGCCCACCACCAAGGAGAGGCCTGGGGAGCAGAGGGTGCCCTTGGTCCGTTAGCAGCGCACCCCTCTCGCCGGCCCCTCCCCCATCTCACTGCCATCCCTCCCCTTTCCTCCCTGCTCTGTCCTGAACTAAATTCCATTTTTTGAAGCCCCTTGTGTGCTGGGCTTTGGCTGGCTGCAGGGGTCCCAGAGATGAATGAACTTCCTCTTTCCCCCTCCCCTAATCTCCCGTCCAGGAGTTCACAGTGCAATTGGGGAAGGCAAATATGGACGTTGGTGGATAGTCACATACACGGCGACGTGCGCAGTAAGGGAGGGAGTAGCAAGAGTTCTGTGGGTCCAGAAGAGGCACCAACCCACCTAGGTGAGGGGCAGGGACCGGGGGAGCGGCAGGGGAAGTCAAGGAAAGCTTCCTGGAAGAAGGGCCTTTGTCCAAGTCCTAAAGGATGAGGCCGGGGGAGAAGAGTACACAGTTACAACACTCCAGGCAGAGGGAACAGTGTGGCCAAGGGAGAGGGAGCACCGAACTGATCCATCCATATAGCCAAAACATGGGCCACAGCCACAAAATATGAGGCCAGAGAAAGGGGCAGAGACACGGCCATGATGGGCCTCAAATGCCAAGCTGAGGAGCTTGGCATCGATGCCAAGGGCATTAGGGAGCCCTGGAAGGTCTGGAGCAGAGGAAGGACAGGGTCAGATAGGAGTGTCATTAGAACCCTTACGGGACGGTTGGTTCTGGGAAGAGGCTGGAGGGAGAGACTATTTGCGACATTCCAGGGGGAAGAGGGTGAGGCCTGAGTTGAGACTGTGTGAATCATAGCAACAAAGCAATAATAATATTAACAAAACAATAGCAACTGCTTATACAGGTCTTGCCCTGTGCCAGGCACTGTTCTCAGTGCTGTATATGTATTAACTTATTGAACCCTGCCAATGGTCCTTCCACGGAGGTACCGCCTTTATCACCACTGACAGTTGAGGGAATAGAGGCACGTGGAGAAGGTGGGGGGCGGAAGTGTCTGGTTTGAGAAATCTTAAGAGTCAGATATCATGTCCTCAAGCTGAACGTCTTTTAAAGAGCAGCCATGCCAAGGGTGGCTTACGGAGGTTATGGGGTCCCTGCCCTAAATCAATCCAAGTCATCCCTATCAGCATCTTCCCCCAGATAAACATTTGTGTGCCCATCACACCCAAAATAAATCTAAATTCCTTCCATTGCCTACAACAGGGTTCAGCCAACAGCAGCCCATGAGCTTCATCCAGCCCACCTCCTGTTTTTGTAGGGCTTACTAGCTAAGAATGGCTTTTACACGATCAAATTGTTGAAAAAAAAATCGAAAGAAGAATGATATTTTGTGGCATGTAAAAAAGTATATGAATTTCATTTGGCAGTTCCTCAAAGTGTTAAAGATAGAATTACCACATGACCCAGCGATTCCACTGCTAGGTATCTCTACCCAAGAGAATAGGAAACATATGTTCACACAAAAACTTTGCATGAATGTTTGCAGCAGCATTCTTCATAATAGCCGAAAAGTGGAAACAACCCAAGTGTCTATCAACTAAATGGATAAACAAAATGTGGTATAGCTGTATAAAGGAATATTATTCAGCCAAAAAAAGGAATGAAATACTGATTTATACTGCCACATGGATGAACTTGGAAAATAAGCAAAAGAAAGAAGGCAGATACATACTGTATGATTCCATTTATATGCCATGTCGAAAATAGGCAAATCCATAGAGAGAGAAAGTGGATTAGTGGTTGCCAAGGAGCGGGGTGGAGGGGAGATTCCCACTGGCTGTCGTTAAAGGGTATGAGGTTTCTTGCTGGGATGATGAAAATGGTGCAAAACCAGGTAATGGGGATGGTCGCACAACCTTGCAAATATACTCAAACCACCGAATTATGTGAACTTTATGTTTTGTGAATTGTAATATCTCAGTTTAAAAAGTATACGGATTCCTCATGTCAGGGTCTATAAATAAAATGTTACTGGCACCCAGCCACAACCCTTTGCTTCCGTGTAGCCTCCGCCTGCAGTGGCAAGGTAAAACAGTCGTGGCAGAAACTGTACAGCCAGGAAAACTGAAAATGTTCATTATCAGGCCTTTTACAGAAAAACTTTCCTGACCCTGGACTGCAATGCCTATGCGGTCTGCGCCCCACCGGCCTCATCCCTGGACAGTTTCTCCTTGTTCCCTCTACTTAGATCACATGACTTCCTCATGCTTCCTTGAACACATCAAGCTGATTTCTGCCTCAGGCCTTTGCTCTTGCTCTTTCCCCCCAACTGTATTGCTCTTCCTCCAGATTTTTCCCTGTCTTTCTTTCACTTCATTTACATCTCTCCTCCCTTGTCACTTCTTTAGAAAGGCCTTCTTTGAGCTCTTTGTTTAAAAAGAAAAACATGGGGGCACCTGGGTGGCTCAGTCGGTTAAACGGCTGACTCTTGATTTTGGCTCAGGTCATGATCTCAGGGTCCTGGGATCGAGCCCTATGTAGGGCTCCACGCTCAGCAGGGAGTCTGCTTGAGGCTTCTCTCTCTCTCCCTCCACTTGCTCCCTCCACAACCCACCCCCCACTCTCTCTCTCTCTCTCTCTCAAATAAATAAATACATCTTTTAAAAAAATGCTCCTTTACTCAGAATAAGAAAAATGTTGATGGAAACTGTGAAGAGATGTCATTTCTCATCCATCAGGTCATCAAAAGTTAAAAAGCTTCACAACATACTCTTTTGGTGAGGCCGGGGAAACAGAAGCTCTTACGTGTTGCTGGTGGGAATGCAAAATGGCCCAGCCCCAGTGGAGGGGAATCTGGCCATAACTAGCAAAACCGCACATGTATCTGCCCTTTAACCCCACAATCTCAGTTGTAAGAATTTACCCTGCAGCTATCTGTCCACCCATACAAAAGCACACAGAGGCATGCTAATTCACCTCATTAGCCATAACTGCGAAATCCTAGAAACGACCCACATGCACTTACACAGAGGATTAGTGGGATAAACTGTAAAACATCACGGAGTAGGAGGACTGTGCCACTGTGAAGGGAAAATGAGGACGGTCTCTGTGAACTGGAGTGGAGGTCAGTGATAGTTCCAGACGCTTTCACTCAGTTAAAAAAAAAAAAAAAGTAATGCACAAAACAGTATACAGGATGCTAGCTTTTAAGCAAAAATAAATAAATAAAATACATATGTGCATCTGCTGATTTTTGCAAAAAGAGACACAGTAAGGAAAACCAACAAATGAGGTTGATCACCTACAGGAGGTGAGTGAGAACAGGAAGGAAGTGGCCGTCCTCTGAGTACGTATTTTTGCGTGATTTGGACCCTTAGAAGAATGTTAATATTTTATATACTTGAAAGCTAAAATCAACAAGGATGGGGGAAAAAACCTAAAGTTGAATACACACAAAAATAAATGAAGCTATGGGGCGCCCGGGTGGCTCAGTCGTTAAGCGTCTGCCTTCGGCTCAGGTCATGATCTCAGGGTCCTGGGATCGAGCCCCACATCGGGCTCCCTGCTCCGCGGGAAGCCTGCTTCTCCCTCTCCCACTCCCCCTGCTTGTGTTCCCTCTCTCGCTGTCTCTCTCTCTGTCAAATAAATAAATAAAATCTTTAAAAAAAATAAATGAAGCTAACTTTCTATCGAATGAATGATACAACCACAGGAGGTGGTAAAAGTAGTATTCTAAGTAACTTTCAAATACAGTACTTTGATTATATATTCCATTCTAAAGACAAAAGATCTGCAAAGAAATCTTGAACCTTAGTACATTTCTGGGGAAATGGTTTAGAGGTAGCAGCTCTTAAGCAGTGTAGGGCTGAGCAAATTTGCAAATATACTGATATTTAGGGAGCTGGATTCTGGTGCCGAAAAAAGGAAGACGCAGATCAGAATGGGGTAAGATGAAGAAGACCCCAGGTGTTAGTAAAAACCTCCTGTTTTACAAGCACATAATTCCCCAATTTGTGTCCTGAAACATCCTAGAGACAGAGTAGCAAAGAGCCCACCTAGCACCGAACTTTTGGTCTCTAATATCATCCCCCACTAAATAAGAAGCTAGGGCTTCCAGAAGAAATAGCTCATTTGAAGCCTGGGGGAGAGGCAGTAAAAGTGCACTTGCGCCACAAAGGAAGGAAAAACTCAAAAAATGAGAGGGACAAGGCAGAAGAGGATGCGGGGACTAGTTTGAAGGGGGTTCCTGATAGTCCAACTAGGGACAATTTGAACATCAAAATGAATAATAGAAGTAATGGCATATATTGGGGCACCTGGGTGGCTCAGTCAGGTAGGTGGCTGACTCTAGATTTCAGCTCAGGTCATGATCTCAGGGTCATGGGATTGAACCCCCTGGGGTGGGCTCCATGCTCAGTGGGGAGTCTGCTTCTCTCCTTCTCCCTCTGCCTGTCCCACCCAGTGGAGATGCTCACATGTGCACCACAGTCTCTCTAAAATAAATCAATAGGGCACCTGGGTGGTTGTTAAACGTCTGCCTTCAGCTCAGGTCATGTTCCCAGGGCCCTGGGATCGAGTCCCGCATTAGGCTCCCAGCTCAGCAGGGAGTCTGCTTCTCCCTCTACCTCTCCCCCCTGCTTGTGATCTCTCTTTCTCAAATAAATAAGTAAAATCTTTTTTAGAAAAATTTAAATAAATAAATAAATCTTAAAAACAACAACAAAAAAAAGAGGGGCACCTGGGTGGCTCAGTTGGTTAGGTGGCTGCCTTCAGATCAGGTCATGATCCCAGGGTCCTGGTATCAAGTCCCACATCAGGCTCCTTGCTCAGCAGGGAGCTGCTTCTCCCTCTCCCTCTGCTCCTTCCCCCCCACCGACAAATAAATAAATAAAATCTTTTAAAAAAATGGCATATAACATGCTGAATTTTTAAAAATGTGAACCCATACTGATATATTTTTTAAAAAATAAACAAATAATAAAAGAAAAGAGAAAATTATTTTTTTCAGTGGTATACCTGTAGATGGAACAGCAGATTTAGAAAACCCCATTTTGC